TATTTCTTACTAAGATTGCTTTTATTAGGGCTCTGGTTTTGGAGTTCTGCTTTCCCTATCAAGGCTTAATTTTAGTGCATGACTTTGTAGAATTCAGACATTTAGTTAATACACATTTGGCAGTTAGCAGACTGTATAGAATGCAGCCCCTGGCTTAAGGAGCTGAAAAGTTAATCAGTGCAGTTAAGTCCAAATGGAAAAGTAGCGGGCAGTCTTTAAGACTGTTTTGTTAGTGTTTCTCACTCACAACTGTGCCTGGATTCCACCCAGAATCAAGTCATTTCTATTTCTCTTTTTAGCACTCTATCCTATTTTGCTGCCAGATCATCCTCAAGCTTGAATACATTTAAAATGTAAATGTTCCTTGTTCATAACTAAGTGTTCCTTTCTTGCCTAGCAACTCCTCAACCTCACATTCAAGGAGCTCTTTTCAACCATTATCTGTCCTATGCTATCCTAAGCTGCAGCTCAACTAACCTACAGCCCCAACGCTTGCTCTCTCTGTGATGCTTGGTCCTTCCTCTCTGACTGAAATCCAGCTCAGTGGATCTTAATCCTGGAGCAGGTGATGGTACATTCCCCTTACTTTATTTCCCTTTATAGCAGTCATTTGTCTATCCTCCTGCTAGAGAGTATGTTTCTTACTTTCCATCTCTGCAACACCGTTCAAACTATCATAAATGCAAATATGTTCAACAGAATCTATTTTTTTTTTGGATACCTTTTGTGAATGTACTGTCCTCTTTCACTGTACAAGCACAATATCTCCTCTACTCTATGGGATGCTTATTTGTGGGCTTGTATGGAAGCCCAACTGCCAGAACTAAGGGTAGTCGTTCCCTATAGAAATGACTAGCTGGAGAGAGGATCAAATGAAGAGATTTAGAAATAAAGGACCTGGGCTCAAAATTATCTGCCAGCTTCTGTGACCTTGGGACAAGTTACTTCTGCTGCCTAATTTCTTCCTGTAGAAATGCTAACGCTTATTATTTACCTCACAGGGACAAAAAAAAAAAAAGGGCAAATATTAAAAAAAAATCCCCGAAAGAATATAGACTGTGCTGTTAGAACAACCCTCTTTACTAAAACAATCTGTTCTCAACTATGGGCTACTGAGAATTTCTTCAGTACAAGGAGAACATATTGGAGCACTGTGTAACTTTTTGTGGCCCAGCAGCAATTACTATTTTATTTCAATTTACATTTGTAAACACTACATCCTAAAATAAAGCATACATTTAAATCTTCCAACCAGGACCTAGGTGTTGTTAACCCAGCAGGGGGAAAAATTATCACCTATTAGCTAAAGAGGTGTATTCAGGGTGTTTTGTATCCTATCCTCAGAAGGCTACCAGTGTAACTTCAACAGAGTGGGAACAAATTCATAGCAAAACAGCATGAGGTCCAGGAAAGCTAATAGGTTTCATTTAGTAACTATCGAATACAAAGAGCCCCAAATATACACAACTACAGAAACACAGATCCAAAGAAGATAAACCACACATTACAGTTGGCTGTGCTTTTTACTTAGAATTCTAGAGCCTTCCCTTAGAGCATATTCTGATTTGGTTTCTCAATCTGCACTGTACCAGATTTACCAAGTTTTACATAACAGATTTCTCCAATACTCGCGAGCTTGCTCCTTACTTCATTTTATCTAAGTGGCGGTAGTCTTTTGATTCAACTGGAGGCTAGGAATATAGCACTTATTACAATAGGAACAATTTCCAAGCACAAAAATAATAACGCACTGACCTACTAAGATGATTTCTGAAGCACTCTCCAGGCTTTACCATTCACACAATACAGATCATTTCAATTTCCTCCCATTTCCTATATTTTCCCCTGGGAACTGTGTCCGCGCCCCCCGCCCCCCAAGTCTGAATTCCAAGTTCTGGTTATGGCAAGACTTCAAAGTCATCACTTCCAGAAAGGCTTCCAAGCTCAGCCTCAGAAAATCTCTCATTCAGCAAATAGCATGCACCCAATTGCTAAGGAGCTCCGTGCCAAAAGCCCAGCATCAGAAGGGACTGGATCCTGAATTCTGACTTTACCACTTCCTAATGATGTCATTTGGGCAAAGTATTTGCAACTGTCTCTTCACCTATAAACCAGCGCTAAAAGGATTAAATGTAACAAACTTAGAGGTCTTCAGGCAGGCCCCAAACATTGCAAGCCCTCAACTAAGAAAGTGATTACACAATAGTGAGGAAACCAGACAAGATCCCTGACCTATCTTGATCACTTTGGACTATATTCTTTTATATCCAAAGTTTATTTTTTCCTAACATGGCCTTCTCTCAATGATTTTCTAGAATCTTTTTTTTTAATAGAAAATACTTAATGCTTATTGACTGTTACTCTGTAAATGCTAAAACAAAACAAAACAAAAAAACAAACACCCTTTCCCCTTCTACTTTCAAGCTTTCCTAAGTGGGCCCAGGTCACAAACATAGACCTGTTTCTTTTCTTCTTTTTTTTTTTTTTTTTAAAGACTATTTATTCATGAGACACACAGAGAGAGGCAGATACATAGGCAGAGAGAGAAGCAGGCTCCGGGATCCCTGGGTGGCGCAGCGGTTTGGCGCCTGCCTTTGGCCCGGGGCGCGATCCTGGAGACCCGGGATCGAATCCCACGTCGGGCTCCCGGCGCATGGAGCCGGCTTCTCCCTCCGCCTGTGTCTCTGCCTCTCTCTCTCTCTCTGTGTGACTATCATAAATGAATAAAAAAATTGAAAAAAAATTAAAAAAAAAAAAAAAAAAAAAAGAGAAGCAGGCTCCACGCAGGGAGTCCTATGTGGGACTCCATCCCAGGACTCCAGGATCACGCCCTGAGCCAAAGGCTGGCCCTCAACCGCTGAACCACCCAGGCACCTCTAGGCCGATTTCTTCTGAGTTTTAGTCTTAACACTTAAAGCTCCTAGCGGAGCACTAAAAGGCTAGGTTCCTTTCACAAAAAAAAAAAAAAAAAAAAAAAAGACAAAACAAGAATTTGAAGAGCACCATTTTGAAGCACTTTGATTTTTGTTAGCATAAGAACTACGCTGAGTGTGCACTAGGTCATATGCATCCTAACTACATGGATTAGCAATAAGGAAGCCATTAAATTCCCGTCTCCAGTTTTAGCCTGGTATTTTATTGGACACAGTTGGTTATGGAAGCAGAAAGACTGTTAATTTTTTCCCTGTCTAATCATTTTAGGAGTGGCAATGCTCTATAAAAGATTTTCATGGCTACCAATCAACTATTATTGCCTAAAGCGAATTTAAAACAGTGAACCTTTCTTAAATTAAATAAATGTGACTGAAATGAGGAAAAACTGCTCTCCAGGAAAACCTCAAGGGCCTATCAACTCAATGCAGGATAAATTACAGAAGAGTGACTGCTTACTCTTAGAACAAGAAAGGCTGCTCCCCTCCAGATGTCAAGCCAAACACAGCAAAGTAAAGAAGCCTTGACAAATATGCTGAGAGCTAGAGATTGCAGTCTGAAAATGGCAACTTTGCCCACCTCTAGTCCATCTTTCTCCCTCTGGCGTTATTCCACATTTTTTCACTAGCCATCTTTATGCAGTCAGAAAACTTTAAAAGAGGAGGCCTTAAAAAACAAAACAAATCAAGTATGATTATCCCAAGTGCTTGCGAGTTAAAGGATCCACTAAAAAGTGGGATCTAAAAAAAAAAAAAAAAATCAGACCGAATGGGGTTTTATTTTAAAGCACGGGGTCTGTTTGGCTATAACTCCACAAACGTCCCTAGATTTAATCCGAAACCGCAAACTGCCGTAACGTGGAAGGAAAATGTAACAGAGGCAGAAGGGCTTGGGCTGCAACACTCTCGCCATTTCTGCCGCCTCTGTTAGCACTCGGGGTTTATCTGGCTTTACCTTCAATTCAAGGGTTAAGATGGTGACTCCCGCCAGAAGCGACCTACACGGCCCGGGACCTTCCGCGGGCCAGGAGGCGCCTCGGCCTCGGGTCCTCAAGACGGCCCAGCAGAACCCTGGGCTCGGCCAGCCCCTTTGTCTCCTCTATCAACCCAGAGAGAGGAAGGAAGGAAGGAAGGAAGGGAGGAAGGGAGGAAGGGAGGAAGGGAGGAAGGAAGGAAGGAAGGAAGGAAGGAAGGAAGGAAGGAGAGGGAGGGAGGGAGAGAGAGAGAGAGAGGGAGGGAGGGAGGGAGGGAGGGGGTGCTCATCCCTCCCGTCCCCGGAGCCTTAGGAAGGGGCGCGCGAGTGGGGAGGGGCGAGGACCCCCGCCCCGGCCCGGGCCCCGGCCCCGCCACCCCGCCGCGGAGGGCCCGGAGCGCGCTGGCGGCCCTCACCTCGTCCTCCTGCTCGCTCCGGAAGCACAGGCACGCCGCCCGCTTCTTGAAGCCCTCGCGGTCATAGGTCCGCGTCTGGTTGGGCTTGAACTTCATCATAGAGGCGGGCTCCTGCTCCTGCTCCTGCTCCTGCTCCTGCTGCCGCTGCCGCTGCCGCTCCGGCCGCCGCCGCGGGGGCCCGGCCGCCGCCACCCCGCCGGGGAGTTGGGGCGCGGGCGAGTCGGGGCACAGGGGCGTCGGGAGGCGAGTGGCAGCGAGGCCGGTCAGTCCCGGAGCCGGCGGCCGCCTCGACGCGGGGCAGGGCGCAAGCGCCGGTCACTGCAGCCCGGGTGCCGGGGAGGAAGCGCCGCCTCTGCCCGGGCGTCCGCCGCTCTCCATGGAGCCCGCCGCCCGCTCGCCTCCGCTCCCTCCTGCTGCCGCTGCTGCCGCCGGCACCGCCGCCGCGGGAGGGAAGTGCGAGGCTCGAGCCGCAAGGAGACAGTTGAGAGAACTCGCGGCGTCCCGACAGCAGCGCCGCCGAGGCTTCGCACCGCCCCCACCGCCCCTCCATTTAAGGGGGCCCGCGCAGCCCCGCCCCCCGCGCGCTCCCCGCCCCGCGCGCGCCTGCGCGCCTGCGCGCCGGGACCGTTGCGGCGGGGGAGGGGCGGGGGGCGGGGCCTCGGCCGCGCGGCCGCGGGCGTCCCTCAGAGCCGGAGGGCGGGGGCTGCCGCCCAGCGAGGCCCACGGCGCCCGCGGGTGAGGAGAGGCCGAGACCCCTCCCTGCCGGTAAATCCCGCTGCTTGCCCCGCGGAGACCTGAAATACCGTCTCCCGGAGAGGCGGTCTGACGCCGTGCAGCCTCCCGGAGTTGCTCTCGGGTCAGGAAATGCCCGGAGGCGTGGAGCGCCGGCCGCCTCCGCCGTGACTGACGCCCGGACTTGGCCCGTGAGGTGCGGGGACACCAGAGGGTGAAGGCCTGGGAAGGGAAGACGTTCGCCGTTTCGTTTGTTTTCCAGAGGAAGGCGAGAAGGCACATTTCCTTTTTCCTTTTTTTTTCCCCCTTAAAAAAAAAAATCTTTGGTTAGGGAGTCGTTTGTATTCTTTCGTGAGTCCGTTCAAGCTTAAATATTTCTTTGAAGCCTTGCGTAACGTCTTGCACTTTGTTCCACCCTCCGCAATGTCTTCACCACTACTGGCCATGGCTCGTATTCGCGAAGTAATTTGCCCGTGTGTTTCATGCTAAGTAGCAGGCACGGCGAGGGGTGGGGCCACAACACTAAGTGTGATAGGATTTCTGCTCCCTGAGGGCTTCCAGCCCTCTAGGGGCTCGGGACAAACAGCCTTGACATTTGGTGAGTGTCGCTGGGGGTTAGGGTAGGAGCCTGGAGGCCCCCAGGTGGTAAGGAAGCGGAGCGACCCAGTTGCAGGCGCCTGTGACTCTAAGGTTTTCGTTCCTGGAGGGCCTACTGTGTGCCTGGCACCGGCGTCTCAAGCCAGCTGCTGCGCTTCCAGGCACCTGAGAGCAGCAGATAGAGTCAAATACCAAATAACCACCCAAGGACAGTAACACTCCAAAGGTAATAGGATTGAAGGTGGTGGAGGGTTTCACAGGGAGGGAGGTAGGACCAGACCTGCAAGTCGGGAGCCGAGGCCCCGAGGAGGACCTAAGGCCACCAGGAGCCTGCTGAACCTTCAAGGCAGAAGAGAACTAGGACTTCGGTCCCGTGGGAGAAGGAGTTAAGGTGAAATGAGAAAAGGCCCACGTGGCTGCAGTCGGGTGGAGGGAGCATCTAACTTCATCTTCTCACCGCCAGGGCCAGGCAGAGGCAAGTTTGTGTGATAAGTTGATGTCGAATAAGTAATTTAAGAAACGAGATTTTACCAGGCACAGTTGGAAATCTTATCAGTCTGTGCAGAGACATTTCCCTGGCTTTAGCTTTCTTATAGAAGCTGCTTGAAGTTTATTTCCAGATTTATAAGCAGGGGATGCAGACATCCAGCTAGGGACTCCATTTTGGCTAGTATGCAAATATTATTTTATAAGATAATTGGCTCAGATAAAATGAGTAATCTCACCATAGTCTTCTTAAGTGATAAAGATGAACTTTCCCTCTGCTTCAAAGGTCTAGCTTCTAGTTTGTGTTCAGTGAATATTGGTTGATTGGATGTTGGTCTACTCAAATCTTTCCCATTTAGTAATTACATGAGGTGAGGCATGAATCAGAATTGAAGAGGAAAGAGGAAGATGGCTGGAACAGACTCACCGAAGGGAGGAAAAACTGCACAGAAAACTGGTGAGCATGAGTGTGCGGCCACTTGCTTCAGGTTCCAGATCGTTGCATTTGGTTGAAAAGATCTGGAGTTCAGGTCTCACCTGCACCAATCACTATATGTAACTTCTCACCTGTCAAGTATGGTATCATTTATACCATCTTGTACATGACCACAGTGGATCTGAGAGTGCTTTAAAGCATTTAAATGCTCTAAGGCGTTTAAACATAGGATATTATTAACAAGAAAATTTTCTTTGAAGACCTCTCCTCCTCTGTTTCCTCAAGGAGTAGAGGAATAATGCAGAGGGCTGGTGCTTGCAAGGGGCTAGGAGTTGTGAGGAAAGGGTTTTAAAAGGAATTTTGCAACAAATGATTTGAACGGAAGAATGCTATCATATAAATTACCACCCCCTACTTTTTTGTTAGTTTATTTATTGAGTTAGTTTTTGCAATTATTTGAGAAACACCCGAGAGAAAAGGAAATTTTAGTCTGACTAAAATGATGGAATAGAGAAAGGCCGAATTATAATGCTGGATCTTCATTTTCCTATGTCAGTTCCTCAGTATCAGGGCGCACACCTCAGCCCAAAGCTCCCTGCTTAGCTTAGAATTGTCTAACAGGTATTATGCATCTGAAATGCGCTTAGGCACCGTTCAAAGCTTAGATCATATCCAGCCAGATCACAGTTGAGATAGACATGAGGTTGTTTTTCCTCGTCAGGGCCAGTAAGGACTGGGCTACACCGGCCGGTTTCCTGGGGATCAGAGTCCAATTTCAGGTTAATCTGTTTAGTGCACTTAGCGCAGTATTATCTTACCTAGAACTTGTTACACATGGAACCATTTCTTGTACTATTTTCAAATATTTGGAGCCATCAGAGAGGGTAACTAACGTTCCCTCCCCAGGGTCCTTCTTTTCCCTGGGTCTTTTTATGGAAGGCAGTGCAATAGGGGTGCTGTGCAGGGAGCTTGCTGCCTTCTTTGGTAACTGACTCACAATGTTACCATAAAGTAAGTTCTATCTCTCAAGGTAAAACTGATCATGACAAATCATCCCTTCCTGTGTCTTTCCAGTGATAATAATAGCTAGTCATTACTAAATGATATTCAGTGCTGCGTGCTTTTCATGATCACACTTGAATGATCCCAACAGCAGTATTATGAGACAGCTACTATTTATTGTCCCCATTTTATAGGCAAAAAAACAGGGACAGCCTTTTCACAGTCCATATTCTTAACTCCTTCACTGTATCACTGTAAACTTGTCTTGCCTCTTTTATTATATAGTGATTGTTTTGTATGGTGTTCTGACACTGGAATTTCTTTCCATTTTAAAATGTAAAAGGAGCTTTGTTTAAGGTAGGATGGTAAGAGAAGCTCTTACAGTGCAAAATGGACGTGGAAGTCTTGGTTACAATTTCATGTCATCTAAAGTGATTTTTTTTTGTGATGAAAGGCACAGATTAGAATGGGATAAGCAATAGTTTAAAATTCAAAAGCTATAAATTAAACTAAAGCTTTAGGATTAGAAACCCTTAAAAGGATTAGTGCAACCAGCATTAGCAAGACTTTAAAAGAGACTGGTTTACCTGTTTATAAGCTTCTTTTTCATTGAAGTAAAGAAATGATTTTCAGACTTACAACTCATTTTCTATTTCCTCAATTCCTATTTATGGCAGAACACTTTGTTTCACATGCATCATGTTTATGTACAGTTTTGGGTGGCTAATAAAAATGTTACTGGGAAGCACAGCTCCCACTTTACTTCTTTATCATTCAGGGAAAGGTGTATGCCAAGTGCTTATCTCCTGGGCAAAGGCAGTGACTTGACATTTTCACTGCCTTCTTCAGGACAGCATTTTAAACTCCTGCTTCATTCAGAATTGCTTGTTTTTGCTACATCACAATTCTTCATTTTCATTTGAGGAAAAAGCCTAAAAAAAGAATGTTTGCCCATAAGAGAGATGTTACTCAATTGTAATGTATGGACCTTGTTTTAATATAGATTAAAACAAACAAAAAATAAACAAGAAAGACATAGGGCAATAAGGGAAGGTGAACACTATTTTATGAGACTAAGCAACTGTTGTTATCTTGGGGGGCTATGATGATATTTGAAAAGGGAACTCCTTGCCTCTTAGAGATATATACTAAAATATTCAGAGCTGAAGTGATATGATGTCTGAGATTTCTTTCAAAATAATCTGGGTTTATTGGAGCAGGAAAGATGGGTTGGGAGCGTGGAGGAAACTAGGTAGGCCATGAGCTGATGGTTGTTGAAGTTGTAAGCCATTTGGAAAATGGAGGAGAAGAAGGAAACAGGAGAAGAGAAATGTTTTATATTTCATGGGACATGGAAATGAACCTTTGTACTATTAGAAGTTGTACACACTCATGATACAAGTATTAGATTCTAGAATGATTAGAATAACCAAAAATGCAGTTTGCAAATTATGCAATGTTTTTGTAAAATAAAAAAATAGGACATCAAAATTACTCACCTATGCAAAAAGTTGTAACCATTATTATTCCATAAATTGAAAAAAATTAATGGTCATTTCCATGTGAAATATATATGTGTATATTATAAATATATTTATATTGAGGGTAATATATATTATTTATGTGTATATATTTACCCTAAGTGAGTAATATGATGAACTCAGTCCTCAGAACCTGACATTTATTTCTCACAGTTTTGGAGATTGGAAAGTCCAAGATCAAGGTGCTGGCAGATTCAGCATGTACTAAGAACTCACTTCCTCATTCATAGATGCTTCCTGGTTCCTAGTGTCCTCACAAGGTGGAAAGGGCAAGGGAGCCCCCCTTAGTCTCATGTAAGGGCACTAATCCCATGCAGGTGGGCTCTGCCCTCATGATGTAATCATCTCTTAAAGGCTCATTTTCTAACACCATCACATTGTGGGTTAGGATTTCAATGTAGGAATTTTAAAGCAATGCAAACATTCAGTCTATAGCAGGTACTAGACAAAGGACTGTAGAACTTCTCTTTAGCTGGGACTTTGAGCTGGTGATTTCATTGGAAGAGGGGACTTTTTAAAAGCCACAGTTCTATAGCATTTGACAAATATTGAGAAGACATCAGTTGTACATATAAAAGAAAAAAGTATGGCTGCTTTAATGAGCATTAATAGCGGCTTATGCTTTCTCTAAAACTATCCCGTTTGCTGCCTCCAACTAAAATGACATTTTTTAGGTGCTTAGGCTAGCGTTGGACATAGCAGGAAGGGTCAGGTGGATTTCCATATCAGGTAGACAGCAGAGCCCTATAGTTTTTTACTGGAAGGGACCTTAAGAGCTCATAGTCAAATCCTTTATTTTCCAAACATAACCTTTCTCTCTGGCTCTCACCCCTCTTTGGCTAACTCCTCCTTCAGGACTCAATTTAGAGTCCCTTCCTCTAGGAGGCATTTTCTCCCTCCTGCAAAATCTGATTGCAGTCTCTGTTTCTGTCCCTTGTATTTCTTTCTTTTTCACCGGGTCTGCCCTGTCCCCTGTATTTCTTCTGTGGTCAAACTCATCACTTAGTATTATAAATATTCTTTTCATTTTCTTTTTTTTTTAATCTGTTGCCCCCAAGAGATTCCAAACACTTGAGGGTAGAGGCCTCTGCAGTATCCAAGACCAATTGTAGGACCTGCACATAGTCATTCTCA